AACCAGGAAAAAGTTTAAAGAGCAAAAAAACGACATGTAAGAAGAGCTAACGATACTGATGACGACACTGATGATGATGATGATGATGATGATGACAACAAGCAATGGTGAGGACCAGGTGTAGGAACATGCATGCGTGTAAACATGTTATCAATCATCCGGCTAGCCCTGCTAAATGTGATGATTTTCAGGGTATTGATGTTTGAGAGGGTGTGATACTGCCACTGCTGCTGGCAGCACACATGTTGTCGGCCAAGACCATCGTGACTGGAGTTCTTGGAGGAACAAGAACGCTTGGAATTCTATGCACGTGCTATTGTTCAAAGTCTTCTCGGTGATCTTGGACAAGTGCTCGGTCTCACCCTACGTTTATCCATTTCTCATTCGAACAAGAACCTTGTCATTTGTCGCGGAAGGCAATTCTCTGACTGTTTCCATCAGCGTCCAAGTCACCGGTTTGTAGGCCACGCAGCCAGACACCGACGAGCCCCGGCGCGGAGATGGGAACGTGCCGATCGAGGAGCACGGAGCTCCAAACCTCGGATGTGAACAGAATGCCTAGCGGTTCTTATTTAGCATCGCTTATTTTACTTCAGGGTTTGAGGATGGGTGTGGGGATGAGTGTGACGGCGGAGTATGAGAACTGCATCTTTGTAAACTGTTGAAGGATGCTAAGTTCGGCTGGACACGCCAGCGAGCAGAGTAAGCAACGCGACAGCCACTTGTAGTGCACTGCCGCCATTGCAACCCCTTCGACCCCGACCAGAGTCACGAGCATGGCCCCTACCTGAAAGATTAAAGCAAAACCAAAAAGGAACGCTCGAAGTGGAGACTCGACTCTGCCCAGGAGCTCCCCAAGGGCCGAAGCTGTCGTAAAAGGCACACATGCCTTGGTTGACCTGGCATCAAAAGTCAGAAGTCGAGGCCGGACGTTCCTACCAGGAAGAGTCATACGAGAAACTTCGCAATACGGATCTTCAAGGGCACGCTGCCCTTCGTTTAGATATAGGAACTCGCCCCACTGCTGCTGTGAACACGAGCGACCGGAAGTAGATCATCATCAGCATCACCGCCACCTCCATCATCAACAACATCAGGCAGGTTCATGATCATGACAAATGATAACGAGTCGTTCTGAAAGTCAAGAGGCCGAACAATGAAACCGCGATGTCTACTACAAGTGCAGCTGTTGCAAAACATGTTAAGTGTCAGAGTTATCGACCCCATCGTTGTCATGATGATGATGATCATCATCATCGTCACAGTCACCTTCATCTTCATCATCATCACCACCATCATTATCGCCAACACTGCCACTACCATCACCACCTCCATCATGCTCATCATATTCTTCTTGGCCATCATCATCATCATCATCATCTCCATCATCATCATCATCATGATCATGATCATCATCATCATCATCACCGTGTTTCGGACCATAAGCTTGATCAGCAGCACCTTCCACAACGATCACAATAGCATTTATCATGTGCTTCATCGTCATCATCGTCATCATCATCATCATTGCCATCATCACCAACACTAGCATCATCAACATCACAACTATCATCGTCATCTCCATGATGATGAACACCATGACAATCATCGTCACACCATGTACTTAACAAGAACTCAGGGGCACGTTGAGTTTCGATCATCAGCCTTGCCCATGTCTGACCGCACCTCTGTGACCATCTCTGTTTCGGTGTGCCTGTGTGGTTGCATGCAGGAGGGTTCAGCTCTACTTATGGCATTCTGACTCCACGACGGCTCTCAAACTCAACCCAACGATAGCTTGACGGTGACCTGGCACAGGCAAAGCATAATCTTACCGACAGCGGTCTTGTCCACATCCGGGCCTGCAGCTGGACACGTCTTGTGCGGATTGCAGGAGCGTGCCTTTCGTCATGCCTGGGAGGGAGAGCGAAGTGACAGCAAGTCGGTTATACTCGGGACGTGGAATCTGCACAAACTCTTCTCGTGTCAGCGAAATCATACCTGACCTGGTGGCTTGCGCAGATGCATCATCCAAGCGAAGCTCAGTCGACCCACGGACATGTATTGTGACATGCATCTGCCGCTGCACAGGTACATGTATAGATATGAATAATGGTTCAGGCTTGCAGTGCTCATGTGAGCTCGTATTCCTCAAATAGACTGCCGCTTTCAACGCCTGCACACTGTGTCGAATGCTGAGACACAGAGACTTCTGACGGCGAACCCCAGAGGCAACTTCCCCTTTGCACAAGATCATCGTATTTGTTCGGCTCATGACTCATGACTGGCTCCAGATTAGGCTTCTCCTCTACGTTCCGCTCTGGTGTGCCTGCGCATGTTGCGACTTAAACCCCAAGACCCCAAATTCAACCCAAAAGACCCACCTCAGCTCCTCGTGGGTTGTGGGCTATCAAATACAACAGCCTCGGAGCCTGTTGAGCTGACGGAATATCGCAATTGAGGCCCGCCTTTGAACGCCTTTGGGTTGTGGGGTTTCAGTATTTAACGTCTGGGGCGTAAGGTGGAGGGCTTTGGGCCTGGCTCGTCCCCCAAGCCCCACCGTGAATCCTCTATATTCGGGGTGTTTAGGGCCGGTCTGTCGCGACAAAGCAAGGGCATGCCTGGAGGCAGGCTGATCTCGAGTTGGGAGATATCCAGCTCCGGCTGGTCTTCAGACAGGACGACCCTGGCTGTCTTGCACACATTAGTAAACTATAGTACAGTATACTATTATACTGTATGACTGGTCTAATCTAGTGAAATCTAAAGCAATAGAGCCAAACATACTCATTACGATGAAGCTTTGGGGATCCGGCCCCTAGCTTCCGCAGAAAAAACCGACTGCACAGTGCCTTCTTGTCACGAGCAAAAACCGGTTACTTTCTAGCTTTCTAGTTCTGCTTTCGCTATTTACCAGTGCTGTCAGCAAGGCGGTCGTGACCACGCGGCCATGGCACGAGGCTTCTAGCTATCATTGCCACGATCCTTCGTCGGTGGCATGACTATCACGTGACGGTCTGACCCTGGTCTCATATATGCTGGTTTCTGTTGTACTCATCAATTTGCACGTTGGCTGCATGCCGGATGCAGTGTTTGAAGCATGTTGCAACGTTCAGTATCAAAGGGCATCTCGATCCTCAGCCCTCAAGCCCGAAACTCTGAAACCTTACCCGAGATCCTCAACCAAAGCCCTCTACGAAAACCCCGTCTAAACCCGCCCCCAGAAACCAAACCTGAACCCCAAAGACTTACCCCTGAACCAAAGCATGGCGTCTCTGCGCATCGACCCGCAGACCAAGCAACCTGCTGGAGCCTCAGGAGTGCAGGGTTCCCCTTGAAAGGATCCTCTAAAGGTTCCGGAAAAGTGGCTCCCTTAAAGTCTCCAGGTAAGGGCCCGTTTACGGATCTCTTCAAAACCTTGCAGATGGGGAGTCCAAGAGACTCAGGTTTGGGTTCAGGGTTCAGGGTGTTTTGCCCGGTTTGCGGGAGGATGCATGAAGGATTGCGGATCACAGGTTAGACAAAAAGGAATACCATTGTCATGACTGAGGTCAGGAAAGCAAGTGCTACCTATATTGTTGTAGAAATCGGAGCAATTTCCAATGGTAACGGTAGAAACCCACAGTCCCAAACAGTTGTACAACCATAGTATTATACCCCGACACCTATTCCAAGGCCCCTCATGTGGCCCCTCTATTCTCTTTTCGTTGACGTGCATGTGGCATGCCGGGAATAACGCAGAATCCTAAATCATAAGCTTTATAAGTCATGACTGCGAATGCCATGGCATGGATGAAGTAATTACGGAATCCAAGGCACATAGTAGCATGATTCCCTTAAAATCCATGTAAATTACAAGTATAGTATAGTAGTCACCCAAATCCCTATTTAAACTACTGAGTCTTTGAGCAAGGCCGGCTTCTGACCCACTGACCGCGAGAGATGCTTAGTTCGCAGGATTTGCAGGAGTGAGCCGGAAGATTCTGGGAGCTTATCATCCACGGTCACATGTAGCCTCAGATGTGCATCATCCAATACCAATACATCAGGATCCAGGTGTCCGGCCGAACGAAGAGGCCGGATGCAAGGAGCCTGTGCTAGTTTGGCTCCAGATGTCTAAAGATCTCTCGGGCTTGCAAACCCATGCAAGCCCAACCCAACACGTACCCTGGAGGCGAACACAAACACATGCCTTCTCGCCTGCATACAGCAGTAACACATATGAATGCCATGCCGAAACATGTGCCATGGCTCGTGCTTCTGAGGATGGCTTGATAGTTGTTTCTTCGTTTGTGTCTTGCCGATCTTTGTGGCACAATGGTGCTCTTCTGGACAAGCTCGCTGTATAGCCCGGGTTCAGAGCCTTCTGGTCTCGAAGAGCTTGGAACATGATTGCTCCAGGCAACTTGACGTGAAAAACTAAACTGCTTCAAGAGCCTGCGCTGACATCCAGGTACCGCCGCGTGCTATCTGGGACAGAAAAGTTCAGCCAGAAGACCTGGCGAAGGCAAACGAGAGGATAGAATATATAATATATAATATATAAGATATATTATATAATATATTAATATTATATGAGTATATATTAGGGGTCCGGAATGCTCCAGTAACTGACTATGAACTGTGGTTCACGAAGCTAAGGCTGGCACTCATAGTGAATTAACCGTCCTCACTGCCCTCGAGTTCATTTCCGCGAACAAGTAGCATAACTTGCCGAAGCAAGATGATATTGAGAAATCTCGCTGTCCCTTAGCCTGAGAAGATTAACTGATTAACATGAAAATCAAGCTCTGCCCCACCGGTGCATCGCAGGTGGCCACACGGTGAGCTCCCCAGTATTCTGTGAGATCTGGCACCTGTGCAAGATTCGAGGAGGCAGAGCGGCAGGTAAAAAATCGCAACTTATGATTTTGCAATTGATGCGCAGTCTCCGCAGCGGCAGAGTGCAAAGAGAGCCCGGGCCTGCAAAGGCGCCTCTGGTGAGCCGAAAAGAGAGCCACAGCTCACGCCGTTGACCATAGGCCTCGAGGCCGGGTTTAGGAGTGTAGGGGTGTACGGCTTTAAATCGCTGCCTGCAATGCTCCTTCAGTCTACCGTGGAGCACAGGAACGTGATTTCTGAACTTGGCAGCAAGACCTACTCATGTCCGTATAAGACGTGTGCCTTCGCAGGGTACGACTTCCAGAAAGGCTCAAGAATCCTCCAAAGAGAATCAACCTGAGGTTCGACATCCAACTCCAGCACCTTTCGGATTCTGCGCAGGAAGACTGGCGGTCCGGGAGACCGGCGGGCGAATGCCACTTGCCCTTAAGTTCTTACATGCGGAACAGATACTCTTCAAGGCACTTTCTACGCTTGGCGATCGAAACTGAGCATGTGCCCCTCAGCTCGTTGGATTAAGTCATGTCTGCCACAAGGACTTCTGCTGCGCAGAGTGACATCGACAGCCCTGTAAAATCGATAAGCGCGACTTGGAACTTCTGAAGAGACTGCTCCGGAGCGAGCGTCGCGGTACGACAGACATTGCCTGCTCAAAAGAGTTCTCCACATATGGAATAGTAGATAATAAACCGCCAAGTTCTGAATGCTTCTTGATCCCGGCCTCTGTTATGAATTCTCTTCGCTTCCCGGAGGAACCCGCAAAAAGAGTCCGCTCTTCGCGAACTGCTCCCTTTGGTCGCTGATCCACTTGCCCGCATCTTTGGCAGGCAGTCGTCGGGTACTTAGCCCAGGGTCTCCCTCAAGGCCTCAAGGGCTCTACATTTACGAAGTCCTTCGCTTTCTTGCACAATGTTACGCAGCTCCTAGGACAGAGAAGTGGTGCATATAGTCGAGAATTCTGTGGTAAGCTATACAGCAGACCCTGTCCTACAGCCCCGCAGAGCCAGGTGCATCCCGATCACTCGACGTAATGATGGCGGACCTGACCGCTGACAGGTGATTCGGGCTTGTCTGCAGAGGAACTCCGATCTTCTCCCCCTGAAATAAGTGGCGAGGTGATGCAGGTCATGTCTATGTAACTGAAGACAGAAAGCATGCCGCACAAGCTTTGCGACACTGTCTTGACTCATACTCCAGGTCGAGGCCGAAAGGGTAAAGCTTAGCCGCAAGGCTTAGCCGTGTTGGAGGCCCCCTCTGTAAGGTCAGCCCGATGCGAGAAACTACGCTTGGAGTGAAGTGTCGCACGAGCCATCAGCGTTATCGAGAGGTAGACATGGTTGAGTAAGCCCTTCATAGACAGCCGACCGGTCCACACAAGGCCATTGTGATAGGAGGGGACGCCACCCTGAATCGGATCGGGGCGAGTGGTCTTGTAATGCAGGCCGACGCATTTTTCGGCAGTGTTTTAGGGACAGCTCTTGGCCTTCAAGCTCCTGAAGGGACTCGCAAGGCCGAGTGGCAGCGTCACCAAGACCTGGTCTTCGTAGCGAATCTCGCCCTGAACGCTGGTGCCGACGGGCCCTGTGCCGGCGGAGGGGTGCGACACTGTGCGACAGGAGCTTGCTAGACCTGCATACAAACGGGGACCCTGTCGGAAGCACCAGGTGTAGCTGGAAAGGACTGTCACCACAAGTGTGCCCTCTGGATGTGCATAAGACATCAAGCCGAATGCCACGAGAAATGCCTGTAGTAGAGCTGCAAAATAGAAGGGCGTGCTTGTGATCTGCGCGATTATAGACAGTACGTAGATCTCGACGTGTGCTGAAATCAAACAGAACAGTGCCGAAACCGGCTGCAGCTGCCGCCTCCCTGCTTGTGTGGGCAGAAGCACTCAAACTCGAGCTCCTCTCGGCAGGTGGCTTCCACTGTGGGTTCCATCGCATACTAACTAGAACTGGCATGCGCAATCGCTGCAATATGCTGAGCAGTTGCTCATACCAGCACGAGTCGCCTGAACGGAAGATCCCGCCCTCTTGACCCGGAAGACCAGATCAACTCAAACGCCAAGTGCTGAAACTCTCTGATTCCAGACCCTCGCCGCCTGGCCCACGGGTAGAAACGCTTTGACCTCCATCTCCTGCTTCCATGTCACGGAGGTCTTTTCCTGAGGCGGGTTTGGAGAGTAACTTTGGCTTCCAGGCTGGCAACAGATCCTGCCAGGTGGCACGTCCATCGCAGCGTGGAAGGTGGGCAAGGTGGTCATCCAAGGCTGCCATTCCCATGGCAGGGTGCGCCACCTCTGATACATGTCACGAATGGCACTAAGGCGGCAGCAGGAATGCCCAGGTAGCCAGTAGAACGCGCCGTCAGAACAAAAGGGAACGTTGCAGAACAGACCCATCGGTTACTCTCCACTCTTCACCATCCAGCTGGGTTTAAGAGTGGTGTTCTACCTATTATCATTCATCATGTCAAGAATAATGTCTGTCTGTTCCAACATCATGCCCTCCAAAGATCTGCCAGTCTGGCGTTCTCGAGTGGCTGTTGATGATGTGCCGCTTTGATGCCAGATCATGCCCGCGCAGGCATTGTCAGTCGTGTGATCCTTTGTGTAGCGACAATCCTTGCTGTTGCTTCGATTTTCGCTGGTGTCTGCGGCCCGTGGTCAAACAACCTGTTCCAGTGCTTGCAATCCTGTGCTGTCGCAAGTTCCTGCTGCCAGGGGGCCAAGGACAAGGTGCCGTCTGCGAGCTTCTTCCTTGGCTCAGAGGCGCTGGGCACACATGACCGGTAACCAAGGGATTCATCAGACATAAGAAATGACCGGTGATCAAGGACAGAGTGCAAACTCCAAAGCTGCGTCCTGGACTCCCGTCCTCTGTCAAGTAGATGGCTTCGGAAGCTTGCGGGCCCAGCTTGATGGCGCCTACCTTAGCAATCTCTGTAAAACATATGTTAAAACTGCAAAACAACATAGCTCATGCAAGACCATTTACACCCACATGAGCATAGCAGAGTCATAGTGAGTCGTAATGCTTTGGTCGCCAAAGCCACTGCGCCTGTTGACATGCCTGCCTCCAAGCTGCAAATCTGATGCCAGCGGCGTCCTGGCAAGAAAGGGACTCATCTTGGAGGATCTACTTTTCTGGGTTGATATGCAGAGTCTTGGGCTCTCAGGATGATGCTGTTGCTGTAAGACTCGTCTCACCAGGTGACATCAATGCAACTCCGAGATCTCAACGAAGCCACAGAAACAAGGACATTGTTTGTCAGGGTCGTTAACAGCCACACAAACTTGAAAAAAAGTGCTCCGACTCCAATCGCAACAGCCGGAATCTGGCTCTTCCCTCGCATCTCCTGGACGAGATACCTCGGCGGACTGGAGGCTTCGCTGTTCGGGAAGCCCGGGTTACCCGAGACTCCTAGAGTATCCTTTTAAGCTATAAAAGCGCTCCACCCTAAGTTGGCGTGCACGGCCTTCTGTTAGAGTTTGGTAAACTCTGCACTTACTGCGGTGTTCGATACGAGGAGCTTGGTCTGCTTGGACCGAGAGGCTTCTCAGAGCTCATTGCTGCTGGCGCAAGACCTGCAGCCACAGGGAGGCCCTGGCACTTTAGGGCCGATAGGGATTATAGGGATTTAAGCCGTATAGGGTCTCCAGGGCTTCGGGATTCGTAAGATGGAAGCTTTGGGCACCGGCCAGTGTAGGTGTGATAGCAGCACTCAGAACTTTCCACCCAAACCAGCTGGCCACTGAAATCATCTGCGAGGAAGGGCCTCCAGCCCCGGAGCCAATCCAACTGAACTTAGAAAAACGACATGCAGGTTGCAGCGCTTAGAATCGGCCTCCCGGGAAGCAAAGGTCGTGGTGGATCTCTCCTATGCCCCGAATAGGCCGATTGGCCCTCAGGTGCCTGGAAACACAAGGCCGGCGGGGGAGCTAGAAGCACAGAAGTTAGTAGAATGCTGAACCCGGTAAACATAGCTGTTGACACGAGCATCTGTGTGATGATGACGGTGGTGATGATGAGCCTGCTATAGATGATGGTGAGCAGATGATCATGACCACCATCTCCGTCGCTGCATCATCGGAGTCGTCATCATCACCATCATCATCACCATCATCATCATCATCATAATCATCATCACCATCATCGTCGCCGTCATAGTCGTAATCTTCGCCAGCACCATCATCTTCGTCTACATAACTCTACAGCAGGAGTGAGAGCAACGAGTTTGGGCAAAAAGCGGATAGCCAAGGCAGAGATACACCCTCATTACAGTCATTGCAGTAGTCTTTTGAGGACTACTTAGAAACACATCGTCCCGACTCGTGAGTCTGTTGATTTGGCTCTGATTCTGATGCGGCTGGAAGGAACACTGGAACCACCTTCTCTACTCCGGCGAAGCGCTGGCGTGCCGGCCTTCTCGGAAGCAGCAGTTGCCGGATTGTGCGACCAGGGAACTCATGTCATGCCGACAGGCGTGCTCGTTTGTGCGAACGTGCAGCCGGCACTTCTTCCAGTAAGTAACTGACAAAGGTGATGTAAGCATCATCATAATAATCAAAATCGGCATAAAAACTCCACACACTACTAGGGATAAATGTTTCGTTCGTTCCTGGCTCTAAGCCAGGATCCTCAGTCGCCAGACACATCGCAATTGCAAGGCAGAGGAATGGAGAAGATGTGTAGCGGCTCATGGAGGAATCAGCTCCCTAGGCCGCCAATCTTCCCTTGCCAGCTTGTTGCCATTATTGTCAGTGTTCTTACTGTGTTGTCTTGATTGTGATTTCCGTTGTTCTTAAGATTCTTACTGTTGTTGTTCTTGGGCTCTGCCAGCTGCACGGACCTACTGAAACAACAGTTTACACGCAAACCCACATGGTCCCACGTGTTCGGCAAAGCTGCTTGCGCCAGCCCTGGTTGGCATTGCGCTCTTCAGTACCGACCTCCTCCACAACGGCGCAAGACCTGCTCGCGGTTGTTCGTGAGGGCTTGTGTTGCTTGTATTGGCGTCGCTTGCGTGAACGGGAACCCGGATCTCGAAGCCCACCAAATGAACGTCTACCCAACTCCGCGAAGCAATGCAGTACAGCTCTTTGAAGCGGCGTCTTCCACAGGGAGTCCGGGTTACTGTAAATGGAGCCCACAGCATGTTACACATATAAGGCTATAAACACGCGCACACACACATGCGCATACATGTGCGTATACATATCATGTGTGTATATATATATATATGTATGTATATGTATACCTACACATATGATGATTTCCGATGGTTTAGGTCTATGCTAATTAACTAGTTCATTCATGTTCTTCTTTGTCTCTACAAGAACTGACACATATTCAATTAATCAATCAACGAGTAAGAACCACTGGCAACATGGATACCACCTTGGATCTAGCACTGCTTGATCTCGATCGAAGACAGCTTTCATGTACCTCAGATTGTCACTCACAGGAATGATGAGCATCCGCACGCTTTGATCGAAATGTCAGCGCACAGACAAGGCTTCAGATGAACTTCTCCACTGGAGGAACCTGCTGAAGGCACGCAAGTTTAGCCATCAATAAAGGAAGCCCCGTCCATGCGCCTACAATAACTCTTCCCGCCCGGTATCCTACCAAAAAGACAAGCGGAGACAAACAGACAGACGGACAGACAGACAGACAGACAGTCAGACACATGGACAGGCAGACAAACAGACAGAACATTGCATCACCCTGGTACATGTCGCAGGCTCGACAGTGGGCCGAAGCTTCCAGGTTGCCGTCCACACCCCGCTCTGCTTACGCTTCAACTGATCCCGAGCACCAAAAGGCAAAAAGGAAACTGATCTGTTCATCCGGCTGGGCGTCTCCTGCTCGCTGTAGGCCGGCATCTTCTGCACAGGAGGAGGAAGCTTCGCCACTGCCAGCTCGGGAGGCACCCAGTCCACACCTGGTATAGACTGTGTCGTTTTTTCGGTTGCTTCAGCTTCATGCCTCGAGAATACTTCGAAGAGTAGGAGTCGCGCGTTGCCACCTCCAAGCCTCCAAGCCCTCAACTTTCTGGTGAAGAGCAGACCACAGCCTTTATGAAAGAAAACACCGTCAGCCACGCTGTCAGCCTAGCGGGTTCCAACCCAATCCTACATAGTCGGAAACTCTAAAGCACTTTCGCAGGCTTCGTGGGCCTGGCCGGGCCACGCTGAAACGACTCGGCAGGTGAACCTCAATATCTGTGTGGGAGAGCGTGACCGATATAACCAGCACAACGCAGGGATGTAGAAGGCATGTCACAAACATGATCTCAGCGTCTGGTTTAGAAAAAACTGCCTCAACACATGCATAAGCTCAGACGTCTAGCTGCTTACCAACATGTGAGAAAGTTGCACAGCAAGAAAGGTGGTGCTAACCATGCCAGCACGGCAAACACTTAAACCAACTAATAAGATTAAGCAAAAGCCAGAGCATTTTGATACACTGCGAGCATGTTGCATATACGGCATATACATGCAGTACAGGCAGCAAGAGCAGTCATGCAATTACCGCTGATGCTTGATCAAACGACTCGTCCGGAATGCGACACCAGGTGCTGGAAGCTTGAAGGGCTTCTCTGGAAAGGACAGGAGATAGGCCTGGCTTGCAGCTGCTTTGGCTGTCGCCCGTCTGATAAAAGAAGATGAGGACTTCTCGTAGTCGTCATGCAAAATCACATCTTAGCTCTTGCTTAGTACTCCTACCCATGGTTACACGTTTTCGCTTGCAAGCAGCTTCTACGCTCCTTTTCTTGAATTGAAGTGGCAGTGCATCGATCTTCTGGGCAGAGCTATTGCGATCAAGGTGTGAAGATTCCAGGAGCGACCTAGAGCAGATGTGCACAGCCACAAGCAGTCTGCATCGATACGGCTGTGCTCTGTCACAGTGGCGCTGCCTAGGGTAGCGACGCCGTGACGTTAATTAGACAGACGCTGGTGCTACAAACCGACATGCTTCATCATGCTTCTAGCTATTCAAGGAACATGCCAACTTGATCGAGGTTGCAAGTCAACATGTCGGAAGCCTATCTGACGACAGCGCAAGTCTTCACCGGAATTTTGTGTATGAAAAGCTCAAGACAAGCGTCTGTCCTAGAAGGACTCGTCATCTTCGTTCCACGCTACCCTGGGCCTGTTTCCATTGATTACAACCACGTCCTACCCCTGCATAGCTGACATGTGATACCACAGCTAGCACCTCAGCGGAGGCGATGGTCGTCTTGCCGGCCCTCCTTGGAGCTTTGGGTGGATCACTGATTTGGCTTCGGTATTCGAGGTTGCAAACTGCTTGTTGCTATGTTGCATCACTCCATAGGTTGGTACTTCAGGAGACTTCTGAAACGGGTTTTTGAAAAGATGTCAGCATGACAGTAAAGAACACTCGTTTCCCCCATTGTTTTTTACCATCTGCGCGGTGGACGTACTGTGCCAGAGGACCTGCCACGGATGCAGCGAATGACCCGTATGAAACTTGCGGATACATTCTTGACTGGACCCCGTCGCTCACGCTCCTTCAAGACTTAGACCCAAACACAGCGGGTTTTCAGCACAGAAGCTAAAGCTAACAACCCCATGACTCAGGACCGAACATTCTTCCCCCCGGCAGAAGACAAGATTCAGGTAGACCTTCGTGGTCATTCCAGTAGAGTGGTGGGCCCAGTTGTCTTCCAAACCTCAGTTGGCTTGGCTCAGCGCTCGTAAGCACAGGGTGTCGAGACAGGCTCGCAGCCCGACATTCAGACTCACCCGGACCCGGCTTCGGACCGAAACTGAACTCAACTCCCAAAACCCCAAACACCGTAACTCGTAGCATATGAGTCATAAGTTGATGAAGTACTGAATACGTATCCTTACAACCTTACCCAAGACCTCAACATTAAGTCCTCTACGGCAGGCAGGTGGTTTCCCTTCTGGGGAGAAGTGCAGGTAGGAAGAGCCCACGAAGCTTTGTGCAAAGGGGGCCGGGCCTTCCAATCGAATTGTTTAAGCCAAAGCCTTACCCCCAAGCCTAAACTGGGTTTCCTTATGTGCTGTCGGTGTCTTTTCCTTTCTTGGGCATCCCGGTAAAGAGCAAGAAGGCTTTTGCAAAGCAAGTGCATGCTGCCATGGATCACAAACCCTAAACCGTAAACCCTAACTTAGGCCCTAAACCCAGTAGGCCTTACAGGCCTTAACAGTCTCACTGTCTGTCTGGAGGCTTTTGTTCACGGTGTGGCATGGTTGATTGATGTCGGGTTGGGATCTCTGGTGTTGAGGACTTGTCCTCATTCTAGTCTGACGGACAGCATGCATAAGAGCAGAGTCCTGTTTTCTGAAAGGAGGACCTAACTTACTGCTGCATCACTCTCAGCTGCTGCTTTGAAGCACAGAACGCAATGCCCAAAGTCATATCCAAACTCCCTGCCCAAGAACACGAAACTGTGACCCTTCAGCACAGAATTCTAAATTAGCCGTGTTGCCCCAGGTAGCCGTAACCTCCAGAGTTTGCAAGCACGGGCACGGTTTGGAGAACCTGCATGCAGAAACGTCTGCAAGTCAAGACATACTGTTTGTAGTTGTCGAGAACTGTGGACACACACGCACATGAGTACATGCGAAAGCGCATGCAAACGAGGGCGCGTGTGCCCACAGACAGATGCCAACCAACCACCACACAAAGACAGCCAAACATGAACCGGGTGGCGCCATAGAAAGACAGGCCACGTATGTTCTCCAGTCTCAAAGTGCAACCCTGGCGACTTTACTGAGTCAACCCTCCCAACTCTACACAGAAGTGGGGGGCCTTCACTCTCTTCTCATGCTCAGTTTGCTCGGACACCCAGTATGTCATATGTCAGAATTCAGCCACTACTCCGCAACCACCCAGTCCACAACCACTTCACCGAGGGCACTGGCAGCTGAGCTTGGTGAGCACTGCATTGGGCTGCCAAGTCAGGCGAGCCAAATAGACCTCAATGCTGCTTTGCTTTTGTTCTCCTCCTGCCATGATTGTGTCTACGATAGTTCGACATCTCGTGTTGCTATGCCTTCTTGGGCTTGATGATACATCATCCTTTACGCTACTTGAAGCCAATGCACACGTTCGGGGAGCATGCGCTTCGAAACCGTGATTGTAAACTACGGCGAGCTTTCGGAGGGGATAACGGGAAATATACATACGCAAATGCACGTCGCTTGACAATGTGTGCATTTGTGCTTCTGTGTTCGTAGTAACACCAGGTTGTCATATGGCAAATAATTCAATTGGACAATAATGACACTCCATCGATTCACTCCACCAGAAGCAGTGCAAATGGCAGCTTTTTTGTTTACATTTTTCAGTACTGCTGCCATCATTTGATTTGAACAACCTGTGAGTGTGGTTGGCTGCCGGTCAGACCCGCTCTCGCAAAAGAACCCCTCAATGCTGATTCACACATGGCACTGAGATTTCGACCCTGACTCAATGACCGATTGGCACAGGTCTCTGACTTGCACTCAAGCCACCGTCATCAACCTTCACCTATTCCCCAGACCTACTGCAGAAGCCTGGAAAACTACAGCCGAATTGGTCGAAGCAGCAGCAGAATCTGCTAGAAGTATTGAGATGGCACCGCCATGTACACCCGGCGCGAACTCACCTGAGATACCGAATCAAGACCATTTGCAATTGTGCTACAACTACTAACACAAGACAAGCAACACACCGTCGACACCATGACAACCACCACCACCAACCACCAACCACAAACCACCGACCACCAACCACCAACCACCAGAAACCACCCACCCACCACCACCACCACCACCACCACCGCCACCGTGTGGAGGACGTCTGCTGCTGCTGCTGCTGCTGCTGCTGCTGCAACTACTACTACTACTACGACGACGACGACTAATGCTGCTGCTGCTACTACTACTACTACTACTACTACTACTAGTACTACTACTAGTACTACTACTAGTACTACTACTACTACTACTACTACTACGACGACTACTACGACAACTACGACTACTACTACTACTACTACTACTACTGCTACGACTACTACTACCACTACTACTGCTACTGCTACCACTACTACTACTACTACTACTACTACTACTACTCCTGCTGCTGCTGCTACTACTACTACTACTACTACTACTCTGCTACTACCACTACTACTGCTGCCGCTGCGGCAGCCACTGCCGTTAGTGCTGCTGCTGCTGCTGCTACCAGTAGTCAGTAGCAGTGGTACTACTACTACTGCTACTGCTACTACTACTACTACTACTACAACTACTACTGCTGCTACTCTGCTGCTGCTGCTGCTACTACTGCCACTGCTAC